ATATTATAAAAAAAGTAAATAATATAGCTATAATATTTATATTAAGTATATATATTATAGAATTTTTATATATATATAAATTTAATAATAAGTATTTCTTAATTATTATTAAATTAAATAAATTACTAAAACTTTCTTAAAGTTAAGGTTATTTATAATACTAAAGAAATAAAACTTATTAAAGCTTTTTTTTATTTAATTAATATAATAGCTATAAGTTTTTATACTATTTTTTTTATATTAAATTAATACTTCTAATAGTAAATATAATTATATATCTTATTATTATTTAAGATAGTATAAAACTTCTATATAAAAACCTAATTCTTCTTACTAAAAGTAAATAAATTAAAATTTACTATAAAAGATAATTTAACTATTTAATTAAATTATTACTCTTAAATATATATACCTTAATATATATAATAGCTATAATAATAACTCTATAGTAATAATAAAAAAGTAGTAGGAAATAATTCCTATAGTATTAATATACCTAATATAATAAAAGCTATAGAAGAATATCTTAAGAAATTAATATTTAAGAAATTAATATACCTAGAACTACTATTAGCAGGCTAAAAGTAGAAGAAATAGGAGGAGGTCCCTCTACTATACTTAAAGTAGATAGACTTAGTAGAGATTTAGATAGTCCCTAGAGTATAGGCACTAGGCCACAGAATAAAATAGGTATAGTAGGAGGCTATAAGCTATTTATAGATGCGGGTGTTAGTGCAGTCTGCCTTGGAGGTGTTAATTTAGCTAGTGAATCAGTTCTCTTTGTAGCTCTGTATAGTAATAGTCTTAAGGCGATATTCTGCATAGCAGTAATAGCAGCTCGGGACTCAGTTACCCGTTCCTTTTAGCGTGCCCTACAGCTACTATACTGTTCTGTAAATTTTATAGGGTCCTTAATGCTTTAAAATTCGACTTCGGGCAGGTCTTGCTTGTAGGTACGGCAGTTCCGAACTGCCTGGGGTATATTGTCCTCTATCTGGCTGTATATCTATCTACCTCTTATCGGTATCTACCTAGACTGCTGAATATCGCTCGGGCAGGGAGACTTTGCCCTGTGTAAGTGAGTTGTCTGACAGCCCAGAAGTCCAATGCCGTGATAGTTCTCGATAGGGAGGTTGTCTTTAAGGTGGTTAGATTAGGTCTGATTGATCAGGAACGGAGGATACTGCACTGTTTGCCCGGAGGCAGGATGACTGGGAAATGTCGAGGGGTGGGTCGGCTACGGAGGTGATATGTGAGCCTAGATACCGTTAGCAACTTGATGGATTTGGTAGATTTGACGGGAAAGGGAAGCAGCCGCCGGCGGTATTAGGGGCACAGGGCTTGTTCAGCCAGAATCTTGCTTCGAAACCCAACAAATCGATTGCATTAAAGAAAAGAGCCTGAAAGCTCTTGGAGAGCTTGCCAAGCTAGCTAGTTACCTAGTCAACGCTCAGGGGTTTGTGTCAAGGACTCCATTTAGTGGCGTCATTTCAGCAGCCGACCAATTCCAGCACGAGTTGAGTACAGGCCAGGCCAATTAGCCAATCAGAGGAGGTTTTATAGTCTTCTTTCTAACTGAGTAAAACGCCCTTCGGGCTGAATAATTTCAATCACTAGTTGAATTTTCAGCTCAACTACGAGGGATCAAAATCCTACTATTTCTACCTATGCCTAGTAATTCTAACATAACATCACTCCTCATCACTGCTTATCAGCTCCCATTGACTTCTTGTTCTATGGATATTTGGCTGCAGTCTTCGACCAGTAGCTCGTTGTTACGACCCAGGGAGATCAACCGGGTACGAACGGGAAACGGCGGAGCTCGGAACGGAACAAACAGACCCCGGTGGAAGTGGTGTGTGGTCGAACTGGTCGAACGAGAGCGCGTTCGACCACGTTCGACCAAAAATGAAACCTTAACCTTAAATGGTCAAACAGGTCGAACGAGAACGCGTTCGACCATGATCGACCAAGCAAATCAGAATAGTATATAGCTTCACTCGTTTGTACTCTCCCATATCTAGACAGCTCTCCAGCTTTTAATACAACTTGATTACTCAAGAATACTTCTTGACATTATCAGACGTGATACGCGACCCTACGCTCAGCACGCTACGCCCCGTCATAACTGCTAATATAAACCAATTAGGTTACGGTTTACTACGTTGGGAACCTTGACCGTCACACTCGTACCCCAGTGAGTTGTCCAGGACCAAGTACAGCTGACTGGCTGCGGGTTACTCGCGCAACTGACCTATCTTGCTGGCTTGTCTCTTGTTCGATCCTTGCTAACGTAGATTGATTTCGGCTTTCCACTGGCCGACCTCGCTTACGCTTTGCTACCTGCCTTACCACTTGGCTTGCTGATGTATCGGTAGGTGTCTCAGTATTGGCCAGCTGGGATTGACTGTCCATACTGATAGCCAGGTTGAGGGCATGGCTTGTGGTGTATTTCTTGGGCGGCCACGAAGAGATAAACAGGGGTCTGCATCTATCCACCAAAAGTAGACGCGCCATCTACTATTGATAGAAAGCTGTGCTTTCTACCCATTCTACCCTGCCTGCTGCCAAGCTTCTATCCCTTCTATCACGACCTCATCAACGTAGATTCAAGTGGGTAGATTGCCAAGAAATCCTTGATGTATATATACATCAAATGCCTAGAAATATTGCAGGGATATGAGGTACCGGAACCTCAGCAACCCCAGCAATATGCGCCCCTAGATCAGCGCCTGGATCAGCCACCAATGCCCAAGCGGCCAAATTCCGCCTCACATCTGCTATTTCCGCGGCCTTCGTAATATTGTTTACTATCCCGGCGCCTCAATTTCACTCCACGTGGATAGACACATATATCCTGCTGGCAGTCTAGCAGATCAGCAGCCACCATTCGCCCTTAGGAGTACAGAGATCGAGGCGCTTGAGGATGGACTGGCTAGCAGGTTGATGAGGGAGATGACCTTTTGCAATTTGGTGTTATATGGTATGGAAATTGGGTTCAGATTTCAATGGACGTTCAGTTGGAAGTTGTTAAGGAGCACGTAAACATTTCGTCTCAGAAAGGATAACTTTGGACATCTTTCACACTAAAAAACTAGACACAGCCGAATATATTAGGAACCAAAGTCATTTAAACCCCTCTTTTATCAACGCAACACTTTGAAGGTATCTTATTCGCGTTTCAGACCCCGTCGTGTTAACAGCTTCGTGACGATGGTCCATGCGTCGGGACCACGATAAGTTCTGCTTATTGGTAGCCATATTAGCCCCCAATAGCGCCGTCTTCATTCGCCACATGACATCGAGATAGTGGCTAGTAAAGGTCTCCCTAGAAAGAGGTGTCGCTGACAAATAAAGCCATAAGTCCTTTACTAGTCAACAGGAGATCGATTTACTAGAAAACTTGGCCAGGCTACCACTGCTTGATCCATTTCAGTTCGGTCCCAAGCAACCAAATTTCATTCAACATACCAAGCAAGCCCCAAATATGTGTGTTCGAGAAAGAGGACCTGCAGTCACTAATTTGGTTGAACGCAGCAATCTGAGTTGAGCGGGGTTGACTGAAGAGGCGATTGATGCACATTGCCTCTTGCGTCAGTGGCTGGAGAGAGCAAATTCTGCCCCTCAACGTCTAGGTAGTGCAGTACAAGAATGTGCCGGCCCCGCCGTCGTTACCTTACTCCCAACAACGGCAAACCTTCTAGCACTTTCTAATATGTCGTCAGGTCTAGAATGGATATATCATCAATGTCTGGGTTGTGACGCCCAGACGGAGGGAGCAACTTACTGCTCTGATTCCTGTCGACTATCAGAATCCGAGAAGAGGTCGGCGTCAATTCACTGTTCGAGCTCGCCTTCTATGCGGATCATATCGCGTTCCTCGAAATCGACAGCCCAAGAAGTCGAGGTGTCTGCCAAGGCAGAGAAGGAATTGAGAGCGTATAATCTGTCGTTGGACCAGTCGACGACGCGGAGGAGGGCATCGCACTGAAAGGCGAAATATCTCTACTTCATTCGTGTTTCGGGATCAAGAGGCGGGGCAGGGGCCACGTCATGCTCCACGGACATCCGAGTATCACTGACACGCGCCCGTTGAAGCATTTCTTGTACAAAAACACAAGAGACACGCAGGGAGCGGTCGAGAATCTCAGTGAACAAGGACAGCAGCGTTCAGACAGCAGGACCTGGGCGGCTGAGGGTGAGGATAGTGCGATTCGAGTCTCCCAGAAAAGCACTATGTACCGTCTTTTTGGCTGGAAAGAGCAAAAGAATCAGGCACAGGGTTGAGCTGGCAAAAACGCCCGGTTGATGAATTCCCTGCTCCCGTCAACTCCCTTTATGGATCGGGCGGGCATCCACCAGCAATGCTGCTTAGAGTTTGCTTTGTACACTGGCAACAATGTGAGCCTGGTGAGGTTTTTGATGAAGGCACAGGACTATACGTGCCGTCAAGCGAATTGATATATAGCTTCTAGGCGATGCCCCATCAGCTTTTTATGATACTCGATTTCCACTAGCTTGACACGCAGCGACCTCACATTCGTGATGGCATCTGCTGTGGTAACCGCCCATTGCTCTGTATACGGTTTAGCGTCCTGGTATTTCCTCTAACAAGTTGGCGAAGAGGGGTTTGATGCTCTTGAACATCTTATGTATCCCAACGATGACGATTTCCGGAATAAATGTGATGTACTCGGCCAGCCTATTGTCGAGGCTGAGGGACTGAAATGTCCCGGCATAGCAGGTTGGGATTAATGCGTATGCCCACTATTCTATGCCATTTGAACAACGGTCCGCGTCTCGCACACTCCCTGGTATCGTACTCTGTGAAGTGCCCTAACAGCGACACGACATTAACGGGTACCAGCTAGGCAACTGTGACCACCAGGGTGAAGTCGGTAAGTACGAAAAGCAATGTGTACCACCAGCAATTACCTGCCCGCTGAATGACCCGTATAAGGGGGAAGGGGTGCGATACCGTCGTGAACATTCCTCTGAGACTAGTCTCGCAGTTCAACCAGGAAAGGTAAAGATAATATATCTCCGAACCCTCTTCCAAATTCGCCCGTAAGCGTGGTGATTGCTTTGCCGGCAATAATTGCAAGTAAGAAAGCCCGCGTTCCTTGCATGTTAACTCTCGATGATGACGCCGCGCCCGCGAAGCGAGACTTCGCAATGGCCCTCTGCCATCGTGATGCCTTTTCAAAAGCTTCTTTAGCCGCTTGAAATGGCTCGAAAATGGTCAAAGTGTGGTTCAGGACCCAGGTAGTGGTTGACTTTAACGACAGGGTGAGGGAGAGACCAGGCCGAGCTGGATATGCATGTCTTTGGAATATAAGCTGAATATGATGGAGTGTGAGAATCCCATACTTACACTGGTGCCTGCAATATCAGACAATTCCGGAATCTGCCAATTAACATCAATTTTAGCTCATTAGGTCCCTGTTCATGGGGTCATATCATTATCCGGGCCGCCGAGAATGTGTACAGTTCGAGACCGTCCCCAGACATAAGTAGGTACGTAGTGTTGTCGCATACCTCTATGTAGGTTATGCCTTCGTCGGGGCGCCTTAGCCATTGGTGAGGAGTCTGAGATGCACTCGGGATCATTCAGAATTGACGAAACGCGGGAGTAACAGGATCTGTCCTGGAGCAGCCATTTTGCAAGGAAAGTGCACTTTCGGAATAGCTCTGGAACGAACAGAGCAGACTTGATGAGGCAAAATCTCATTTTGGCCATGGCGTTTAGCTAAACAAGGAGCTCAATTACAAGCAAGCAAAGCAACTCCATTCTCCAGGTTTCCCTGGTCCGGACGACTCATTGGCGTAAACGTGTTTAGTCAGGCGGAAAAGGTCGAGTGGTTTGTACTGGGCGTAATGTGTATTGCATACAGCTACAGATATTTGTGAAGAAATCACAGAAAGAATCCAGGGATGACTGGAGGGTTCTACTTGGACATGAGTTATTAGACGATGAGCAGTTTTACTTCGTATTATATAATAGCGGGGAAAACGAACACCACCTTCTCTCTCCCTGCTGCATAAGGACTAGACAGGGTAACTGAAACTAATACACACAAGACCCTCTTATACACTATCCTTAGAGGACATATCGCTGTGACCGTCCTCGCCATCGTCTACCACAACTGTAGTCTCGATCGTCTTCGTTATACCATGGGCGCCAGGATATGTAGCTAGATGTATCTCCGAGCCAGAGCTGCCTTGACGAGTTCGCTCCTCTTTTCCCAACTTGTTCAAAATCGTGTTACCTGACTTCGGGATGGCTTGACTGCCGCTAACGACGACACGGGAAGTGACATAATTGGTTGGGTTGGATTTATGACTGCTACTCCCGTGCCAGCCGCCGTCTCCGCGCCCAGCCGCACCACTCCTGACAACTTTGGAGATCAAGTTAGCCATTAGGAGCTCAATGTACAGCTTGACTATGTAGGCGAGAGGGGCGAATTGGACGTATCTGCGCAGGTAAAGTCAGTTGATTGTCCACAAAGATGTCAAGGATGGAAGAGCCATGGCAGTTCGAAACTCACAAATAAGGGTTTGGTAAGCTCAAGAATCCAAGGAGCATAATATCCATAGATGTAGAGATAACTACCATTCCAGCGTTAAAGTTGAAGAGCCTCCAATACTTGCCCAATCCGTCGGCAATCAGGCGGAAGCGCACCAGATACAAGAAGTATAAGTTGAGCCCCAAGTCAATGATAAGAAAGAAAGACTTCTCTGCCTTTTCGAACATCAGGTTGACATGAATCTGAAAAGGTGTAGCTGATGGCAGGTGCGCGACAGTCCATATGTAGCAAACGGCGATATTGATGCATGCGATGGGAAGTGCGAGACCCCATTTCAACTTTCTGGCTCTACGCTTGTTGGTCATAATCAAAGCTACGCGGTTGGCAATGATTTGAGGCAAGAGCTGGGTCTGAATAGCCCACAGTGCCACTGCATATTCGTCAGTTCAAGAAATGGTAATAAGACTTGCATCCTATTATAATTACCGGTGAATAAAAAGAACCCGAGACTGGAGATACTTGTTAGCATGAACGCTGCGTGGGACTACCGAGCAACAAGAATCTACCTCGCAAGAATGATTTCATTCAGGAACAGAAATGTAACAAGGGCAAAGATGAAATTTACCCATGCCTCTACCCAGATCATATACACATATGCGTGATGGAGGCTCCGCGTGCGTCTCCATATACCCCGTGTCTGCTGCACAGCCTTCGCAAAAGTGAACACAAAGACGCCCACAAAGAGCCCGAAGTATATAGACGCGAGATCCATTTTGAGCTCTAGGGAGATCAGAGTGATAAAGGAACGACTTGGACTGAGTACAGAAGCAAGAATTAGGACTGGAAAGAGATAGTAGAAGGCAGAACTACCCCGCCCATCTTATATATAAATAACTCGTATTTGGTATAGGCGAGTCATGGGAAGCGAGGTAGCCGGTACTTAGAACCGATTAATAAATTAGTCTCCGTTGGTGAGTGCATGTGTACAGCTTCCCCGTGCACTGAGGGTGACACATGTCAAAGTATTGTGCCTAAAGAAAGCCACAACTAATTTCGTAATTGGGATAAACACCGCTAGAGGAGTTGGCGTTAACTCTCGCAATCCTCAATGCAGGGTCGGCGCGCGGACCAGGCATTTAGCTTTCGGATGGGCACCCAGACTACAACAGGTCGTGATCTGCGACCGGCACTTGATTTGGCAGGCTAACAAGCCACTCGCACTGAACCATAAAGGGCAGGTCCCTACTCAGTACGAAGAGTTCTTGAGAGTAATGCCGAATGGTTCCCCGCATTGGAAGTATAAGCCTTTTAGTAACGTCTGTGTACTCCATAAAGCAGGCTACGTTTGGCACTAACCTGGCGGCAATCTTCACGAGTCAGTTAGCGTTCTTATAGTACCACTCTAGCCGTTTTGGCACTTCTTAACTATCCCTGATGTCATCTCCCCAGGTAGTCAAGATCCCTAAATGTAACGGTGCGGCAATTCCTGCCGAGTAAACCGCTCGTGACTGGTTTATCGTCAGCATGAAATGCATTGCCCTCCACGTCATTCTCGACCCGTCTAGCAAGATCAGCACGACGAGCGATAAATTTACCTAAACTAAAAAGGCGAGAACTCTGGCAGTAAAGACACCACAACTCCTGCAAGACACCACAACTCCTGCAAGAGCCCTCCCTCCTCCCAGGGTCCTTCAGCCAAGGGTTGGGCTGCAGCCCAACGCTCTCTCAAGACTCGTAAAATTTAGTAGCTTTAGAGTGAATTTCCGAGTTACACTTCCTAACCTCAAAGAAGTATTTCCTATGTCAAAAGTAGTCCTGCTCCATTAAAGCTGATAATAAACACCTCGCCCAAGGATATGTCAGGAGGGAAAGAAATGACAGCTTGACAAGGCTGGCCAAGAGAAAACATTGACTTGGGCACCCAACCTGGTGACGGCGATTATGTCAACTATTTCCCTTATTTTCTTACCAACGAGACATAATTCAACATCTTGAGGCTCAGCTATAGCCGTCCGCCTCACTGTTTATTACGTTAAGCCCGGTACTTCAAAGACTACCCGTATCTACCATGCAGTACGATGGCCGAAGAGATCTGCGTCCCTCCTTCATAGTTAGATCAGGAGTACACATTAAAGTTTAAGTATGCATCAGGGATCTTCGGGTTAAAACAGGGGGACCTTTCCAACCCCTGACCCTCTGAAGGAATCCGGAGGTGGCTAATGAGCAATTGGTGATGCTCGAGTGATGGCCAAGCACTCTAGGACACCCATCAGAACGAAAGAAACGGACCAAGTTTTGCCAATCTATTATTTTCCTCGAATAAAAGAACATTTAGTTAGACGTATCGCATAAATTGGGCGCTCGACTAATCGCGATGCGGCAATATTAATCTTCCCAGCTCACGCACTAATGGTTCCCCTTCCTCAGTCGCAATTGGATACCCAGTGGTTTCTGCACCATCGCGTTCTCTGTCAAAGCTGGAAGGGCACTTCCTCGATAGTTCACTAGGCCCGGGTGTAGTAGCTGAACTAGCGTTTGATAGGGAACAAACTGATCAGTATAGGACATGATGTTCCCTTGAGGCTGCCGGTGTTAAGGAGACCATCACACCGCCTCCACTCATCCTTAAGCACGGCTTACGGAACGCGCAGCTGAAAGTTGGTGGCTGACGGTCCATTCCGACCTTTTCTTTGCTCCAGGCCTCAGAGTGGTCACCCATGGCACACGCAATGTTGAAGTAGCCTGTTTCGCTAGTGTGTAGATTAAATCGCAGGGTCTGAAACTTTATTTGCAGACCTAGAGCAGTGCTTACCCAGTCAATCGCCAACCGAGGGCTGTCTGTCTGCATAACAGCCGCCCTGAAGCGACACTCCACAACACGCCAGCAAGAACCAGAACACCACGCTACTGCAGCGTCCGAGCTAGCCAACCCGAACGGCTGTCAAGGCCGGGAACCCGGGAGCGGATCCCTGCTTCTCCCCTGAGTACGTTGTTGACCTAGTACTAACACGGACTAGATGCCATAGTTAACGGACAATGCAACCAGAGGTCTGAGTCCTTAACAACGATCAATTTTATCGTCTCACGCTACTATCTACCCAGATTTGTAGCGTCAGTGTCAGCGTCATTCTGATCGGCGCAAGTCATCAGCAGGTCTAGCTCTTCAACACGATCGAGATACTAGTGGGAATGCATGAGTAGCGCGCTGATGGATAGAGGAGGGGACGAACGATGGCAATGGCTTGATCTCCATATAATGAAACGCGAGGATTCTCGTTGGTGCTACTCCGTAGAAACACTGTCTTCCCGCCACAGTTCATCACTAGCCCAGGGCCATGCCGCCACCCAGCGGCACAACTGCAGAATCCGGTGGAACGGACACTCAAACTTCACCCTGCGCGGGAAGCTCCGCAGGGCAATGTACCGGCCTTCCACAAGCCACAAGATGGCATCCAAAATGCATCATGTAAGGAAAGTCTACTACTGTTTGTAGTCGACCGACCTTTTTCCTCCAAAGAGGCCCCGCCGCCCAATCAACATCCGTTTCCCTCCTCTTTCGTCTAAAAAGGGAATGTATTATAAATGCGCCGACCCCGGCCCCGCTAAAGAACCGCCATTTGCCTTGCCCCTTTCTTTTTTATTAAAAAAGCCTCTTAATTTTATTTTTTACTGGTATTATAACTATAAACTATATATAGGTTGCTTGCTATGCTACTAGAGGAAATAAAAACTATATATAAAATAACTATAACTACTACTATTACTATTACTACTTTTATATAGTATAGTATATTATTAGGTGGATATATATTTTATTTTATTATTTATTATTATTTATTAATATATATTAATACTATATCTCTATTTATACTTTAGCCTGCTTAAGTATAGTAGCTACTGCTAATATATCTATTAACTTTACTATTAAGTAAGGGAGTAAGTAGAGGATACTAAGAATATATAACTACCTAAAGGTAGAGCTATAATAACTGCAATAGTATTGTGTTGGAAAGGTTGGAAAGGTTAGGTTTGGGGTTTGGATAAATTGGATAGGTAGGCAAAATAGATAGTGTTTTCAGCTAATACTATTTAATTAAATAAACCTTTAATAAGTCCCTAAAGAATAGGTTAAAAGATTATTAATTGAGAAAATAATAAGATACTAGAAGAATAATATTTATATTTTATTTAGAAGGTTCTATTTAAAATCTTTTTAATTTATAGCTTTAGTAGATCTAGCTACTAATTCTATTTAATATAGTATTTTTATTAAAGAAACCTACTAATTCTAGCTCTAGTAATTATAAGTATTTAATTAAATAATCTTTATTTCTAAAGACTAAAAAGCCCTAACTTAATATCTTTTTATATAATATTTATTTACTCTTAAGTATATTAAAAACTATATAATTACTTAAGATTCTATAAAGAGATAAGGTAATTATCTTACTAGAGATAATTAAAAAGGTATACTTAAAAGAGAAAAAGAAAAGAGATTTTTCTATTAGCTAGTAAAAAAAAAAGAAATAAATTCTAGCTTAAAAGTAAAAAAGGAAAAAAAAGAGATAATATTAATTTAATTTTTATAGCTAATTAAAAATAAAAAACTAAGTTAAATTCTAATTATATAACCTTAAATAACCCTCGATAAGGGAACCTAGTATTTGAATTTACTGTATTTTTGTTGTGCGTATATCACAGTTGCCAAGGCCTAAGTTTGGGTTTTAAGCTGCTTTTTTCTTCTCTACCGGAATCCTGTCTAACTTTTTCGACTCTAACCTTAATAATTGCACTGAAAAACTCCCACAACCCGACCTGTAAAACGCCCCGAGATCCAAGTCATTCAAATCCCCCCTCTAGCCAGCACCCTATATAGCTAGTATCCATACCAACCCAACACAACATAACAGCTCCTGGAACCAGGGTTTATATTGGGCCCCGGCGATATCCTGGAGGAAGACTTGACCCCTTGGATCGGGATTGTTGATATTTTTGGCCAAGTTGTAAAGCGCGCCTATTTCTATTTGGATATATGGATAAGACTGCGGACAAGAGTTTGATTTTCTTGCCCATTAACCCTAGTCCTATTGTCAAGAAGCAAATGGCATCTAAAAATAGCTAATGCGATCTGTTGGCTTCTATTTAGGTGTTGCGGATAGTGTGGCGATAGCTTAAATAGATTTTCTTTCTTAAGAAAGCTCAAGAGGAAATTCAGCTTCTGTCTTTCCGATTCGTCTTCTAGATTCTAAGAGAATCCGACATCATATTGGAGTTGGGATCTATAATACGGATATAACGAGTTATCCCTGGAAAGAGCTGCTCGAATGAAATTTGCTATATTGAAAATTAGTTGTAATGGGATAAGTGTTAGAAGGGAAGTTGGTCTCTTGACGATAGGAGATGTTAATCTCCCTTATATCCTATTACTCTGAATAAGATTACTATCTTAAGGTTGTTAACTAAGATAGTAAGGTTGTTGACTGTAGATTAATAGGGTGAAGTTAGAGGGGTTAAATGGAAGCTTTAGGTAGAGACTGGTGGGTAATAACCTTATTGTTTAGCTACTATTTCTTCTGGTGCTGGGTGTAGCTCTTATTGTTTATTTCTACTATTTGAGATTACTATATAGCTTTAATTTATTTGATAATATTAAGTAAAGCTAAAAAAAAAAACTAAATAACCTTAAATAATTCTTAGTTTAAATAATAAATTAGCTTTTTAAAGTAGGCTATTAAAAAATATTAATAACTA